AGGTTGTGGGGACACCAGGACATCAGTCTGTGCCCTGGTGGCACACTGGCCCAGGAAATCAAGGCCAGGTTGGATGGGGCTTGGGGCAACCTGCTCTAGTGGAAGATGTCCCGTGCCCATGGCAGGGGGTGGAACTTTAAGGTCTTCCCACCCAAACCAGTCTGTGATTCTATGAAACTGGAAGCAAACTGGCGCATAGTGAGGTGCCAGCTGGTTCCCGTAATGTTGTAAGCAGGAGATGAAGAACAGAGGGAAAGCCAAGGACAAGGATGGGCAGCAGAGCTCAGCCTCAGTTTCCCTGCTCCAATGTTCACCCAACTCCCACAGCCTCCACAGGAAGGGCAGCAGGAGCTCCAGCATGGCAAGGCCCCCCACCACACAGCACGGTCCTCCCAGACGTCCCCATGCCTTGGCACACGGACAGAGACACAAGCACACGGACACGCGCCCACGCACACGCTCTATCTACGCTGCTTCATCGCCTTGACGAGCTCCTCCAGCTTCAGGGCCAGGTGCAGGTCACCTGTCACCTGCAGCCTCCCACTCATGTAGGCACTCAGGGGGCGCAGGTCACCCAGAAACAGGTCCTGAAGGTCCTTCTCCGACACTTGCAGAGTGACATCAGGAACGCCCTCGGGCACTCCGCGGCAAATCCGCCCGCTGCCTGCAGGACACGGTGGGTGGGAGAGGGAGAAACAGTGGGTTCAGGATCCAGCCTTGATCCAGCTGGTGTTTCCCCCCCCACATTTCATGAGATTTGAGATGGGCCAGATGACAGATGGGCCTCCTCCTGGCAGGGAGACTTTGGAGATAGGAGTCCTTACCCCTTATGGAGATGAATTTCTCTTGTGTTGCTCCACCAATACCCTTTACAGTGGTCCACCTCCAAGCCCCGTCCTGCTTTTGCCATAACCACCAGGAAAACCACAGGCAACCATGTGGGGATGTATTAGGGTGCTGGAAGGACATCCTCCAGCATGGCAGGGGCCCTCCATCACTACCCCCTTGTGCTGGTGTCCTACGAGAGTCAACAACTCCTGAGGTCTCCAGGCCAGCCACGAGACCTTGCTGTCAATTTTCCATCAATACTCTATTTCTCAAAGAAAATTCATGGTTTTAACCCAGAACAAATTATACTTTGGACTGCCAGGGAGCGTGGATTCAAGGTCATGGTCACCAAATTACGTTGCTCACCTGATGGGCCCCGAGGTGGCTTTCATGGAGGTACCAAAGGGGTTTGGTTTGGGACCTCTGACCACCAAGCTCGGTGGGGTTCACAGCATGCAAAGGGGGCACAAGAGCAAAACACACCCTCACAGCTCCAACACAACAACCCCAAAGAGTGCTGACCTGAGGAGAGGTCTATGAAGTAGGTGCTCCAGGTGCCACTGGACAGAGCGATGTTGACCTGGTAGGATGCTCCCACCTGGCTGACCAGGGCCTCGGAGAGGACAGACTCCACCGCTGAGAGCAGCTCGTCTGCACTGGGCTTCCTCTGGGCAAGGAGGGGAGTGGTGGGAGGCTCCACCTCGTTCACCATCTCCACACTGTCTGCTGGGGACAAAGGCACAGATTAGGGGACACCTTTGTGTGGTGAGCCAGACCCACCAGAAAAGGTCTCCAGAGGAAAGAAACCCACTTATCCAGAAAGTCTCCAGCTAAGCAAGAAGAGGGCAACCGGTCTTGCCAGTTCCTGCTCCACTGTCTGCCATGGGTTACTCTTCCCTGGCTAACAGGGCGAGGAAAATTATCCCTGAAAAGTTAATGGGGCACCAATCGGTGCAGGGTTTCTGGAAAAAAATCCATGTGACTCTTGGGAAACTCAGGCTCGAGTTTGCCTCGTGGAAATGCTGAGATATGAGTTGGTCTTGAGCCCAGGGCTCCTACAGATCTGCTTCTGCCCTTCCCAGTCCCTTCTCCAATGTCTTGTTGGAATGGTGATGCTGTGCCATGTGCTGTATAGAGCTGTGCCCACAGCTCTCCTCCCTGCTACCAGCCTGTCTGTGCTGTGCTCGTAGGAGCATGACATCTCCCAGACTTTGACTCCTCTGTCAGACAGCCAACGGACACAAAGGTCACCTGGCAGGAGGGACATGACCCAGCAGAGGAGCAGTGACCAGGGTTGGTTACCTGCCTCCGGAGCGCCGGTCCCGCCGCCGGCCAGGGCCAGGGTGCTGCCGAAGAAATGGGCAGCCAGCTGCTGAATGGTGCCATCCAGCCCCTCCAGCCCCGGCACTGGTGGCACAGTGGCTGCAGGCCCTGCCAGGTTCTCCCGGGGTGGCTGCAGCACAGCCTCCATGCTCAGCTCCACCCGGTCCACCTCCAGGCCCCACGACTTGGTCATGTCGTTAATCTCCAGCTGGGAAGAAAGGGAGAGGTGTTGACAGCCTAGGCAGAGCTGGATATGGCCATGGAGACCACCTCCCCACCATGGCACCCCCCACCATTGGCATCCTATAGCTTGTGCTGCTGCTGCCCATCAGTGGGGTGTTACACCAGGCTCAATAGTCCTCCTTCTCCTCCAAGCTGTCAGCTCTCACATCCAAACCCTCCTCCCCCAGTTGCTCTCCCAGCTTGGAGGAGGCTGGGACAGGGGAGACAGCTCTGCCTTGTTCCTTTTTCCATAGTCCTTTTCCTTGCTCCCTCTTGGGCAACACATCCTGGCATGGTGCTCCACCAGGCAGTATCTCTGGCCTCCAAACCACCCCAGGCACCCCAGAGGTATTCCCCAGCCTCTTTTTACATCACTTCTTATAGACATTGAACCCACAAGATCTTGGCCTGGCCCAGGCTGACTGCAGGCAGGACTCACTGCCCCTCTGTCACTACCTTGTTCTTCTCTCACCCAAAGCCCTTTCCAGTCTCCCTCCAGACCTTTTCCTGATGAAGATAAGGAGATCAAATCACAACACGTCAGCCTTTCTGTGCACCCAAAGCCCTTAGAGATCAGCCACAGAACTCTGGAGATCTGAAAATATCTGCTCCCTGCTAATCACCACATTTTCCCAGCTCCCTTCCTTGTCCAGGTCTGTGGCCAGATAAGACTTTCAGCAGCTCCATCTTTTCCTTACTGTCACTTCGGCACCACGATCCCAAGGGTTTGGGTGTCCTGGGGGGCTCTCAGGCAGTCCTCACCAGCAGCTGCTCCCCGATCCTCAGCTTCTCCACCTGGATCTCACGGAGGCTCTTCTTCATCAAGGTCTTGGTCATGGCGTTCTGTGCTGTCATCCGGGTGGCCGCAATGAGGTCCTTCACCATCATGACGGACAACACGGGGTCCCACACCCGGAATTGGACATCAGCACCCATGGAGATGATTGCCCCATCCTTGGAGGTCACCTGGGGCAGAAAAGAGTCAGGATCTCTTCTGCTCTCCGCCCCGTGGCCCAACCCTTGTGTGTAGATCCTGGGAGCAAAGGCATTCCCAGATGTCTTTGTTAAGAGGATTATTGGAAACAAAACCAATCCAAATAATTAATTTTCGGCTAGCTTGGATGGTGAGGACAGTTTCCAGCATAGGCTGTTATTTAAAGACATCTGGGAAGGGTAGGAACTGATGGTTTTGGGATGTCTCCAGCCAGGAACACCCTCTGAACAAGGCAAGAGGAGCTTTTTGACCTCAGGCAGGTGAGGACTGACTACACAGCACCAGCTACAATGTCCCTGGCCTTGCCAGGAGGAGCTGAAAGCTGGGTCACCAAGGGTCAGACCATCCCAAAATCCACCTGCTCTGGGAATTTGAGAGCTATTTCTCCATCCCACCCTGAGGGATGGCAGTCACCTTGCAGGGGGGCACGTTGAAGGCCCTCGTCCTCAGATCCACCCGCTGCCAGTGGTCGATGAAGGGCAGCAGCAGGACCACGCCGGGCCCCTGAGGTGCCTGGATGCGGCCCAGGCGGAAGATGATCATTCGCTCGTAGGTGGGCACGACCTGGAACGGGAAAGTTTAGACCAGGGCAGGAGCAAAACCCTGGATCCTGCAACGCCAGGACCAGGGGCAGCTTGTAACTGTCCCCTTATGGAGGTTGGTTGTCATGCCACTCCTCACCTGCTTTCCTCACTTACCTTCAAAGCGAACCACCCTGAGATGGGGAAGGTGACAACCATCAGCAAGAAAACCAAGGAGGTGATAATCCCATGGCAGATCCAGGACAGCCAACCCTGGGAGGTGTCTGCAAGATGCGTGAAAGGGGGATGTACCTGCTCCAAACCCCTCTGCTCTGCCCGTGAACCCCCATCCAAGCCTCTCCGCTCCCTGCACCCTGCACCCAGGGCAGCCGGCAGTGTGGGGGACACCCAGCCAGTGCCACACCCTACAGCACCGGGGGCAATAGGGAGGGAGGCAGCAACTCTCCTCTCGGCGTGGGAGTCACCTGTGGTATTCCCAGCCATCCCAGAGGCTTGGGGCTCACCTATGGCATTCCCAGCTGGTCCCAGTGAGTCTTGCTTGTCTCTGAAGCAGAAAAAGCCCTTCTGGGCACCGTAGAACCCAATGCTGGACTGCTGGAAGCGGTCAAAGTCCCCCAAGGGAAGGGCTTGGTATCCCGAGCGGCTGAACATGGTGCTGGTGCCTTGCACAGGGCCTTGCTCCTGGTGCTCCAAGGTGCTCCTCTAATCCTGGCTCCCTGCTGCCATCACAGCCACCTCCATCCCCGTCACGATCTCCCTGCCGTGAGAGATGCAGCTGACAAGCCCTGCTGTAGTCACATCACAGAAGGACATCTGCTGGAAGAAATCCAATCCTTCAGGGGCTTCCCTGGCCGGAGTCTCACCCCAGCTGAGGTGCTGGAGGCTTCACATCCTCCCGGAGACCCTCTGGGCAGGAGCCGAGCCTGGAGACAAAAGCTGCGACCCCGCGGTCACTCCTCACTTCGCACCCCCTCGGAGCTGGGGATGACCCCGGGGCGTCCTCGGCCGCCAGCCCCGCGGCCGCGGGGAGCGGAGGCCGCGCCGAGGATGCTGAGGGGAGGAAGGAGGGAGCCGCTATCGCTTCCTGGTCCGCTCGTCATGTGGCTGCTGACGGCACAGGGACGACACGGCTCATGGCTCACGGCTCGGTGAGTTGTTCCGGAGAGGCCCTGCCAGGGAAACGCTCCGCCGGCCACGGGGAAGACGGGGGTCTCCATCACACATCCACACCATGGGGGGCTCCGCAGGGTACCCCGACCCCACAGGAACAGGAAAGCGGGAAAGGTAGTTTTCCCAGGATTCCTGCTCCGGCGTGGCCTTCCCGCCATGCCAAAGCCCCCCACTCTCCCTCTTGCCGGCTCAAAGGGCAGTGGAGATCCAAGAGCGGCGCTGCCGAGGGTAGGGGGTGACAACAGTGAGGGTTTAAAGCCCCCCTCGGCTGAAGTGGGAGCCTGACACTGCCCCAGAGAGAGCAGCAGCTCTTGCAGCCGAGACAACACCCAGACAGCACAGCTAGGGGGTCCTACCTAACAGCTGGAGCAGAGCTTTGCCATCCGAACCCCTCTCGGAGCCAGCATCCCCCTGGTGCCAACATCCTCCCGGTACCAGCATCCCCACCCCAGTACCAGCGTACCCCCGGTGCCGGCTTACCCTCCCTCCCGGTGCCAATATTCCGCCCCAGTACCAACATCCCCCCTTCCCTGCATTTCCGCCTCCCTCGGATTTTCCACCGGTACCCCCAGGCAGAGGGCAGGAAGAGGGTGGGAGCGGGAAGCCCCCATCTCACTCCTTTCCCACCCACCAGCTCCATCGGTCCCTCCCGGCCCGAGCCGCCCCCCCACCCCGTGCCTTCCCCGCCTTTTTCCCACCAGCTCCTCCTCCTTCCTTTCCAGCCAGGCTGAGGAAACGAAAGTGGTTTGGGACGGCTGTCCCCTGTCGCCGCTCTCATGCCCGACAACCCCGTCGCGCCCCGGCCGCCCGGCCCCGGCCCCCCAGCAGGTAACGAGGGGTCCCCGCTTTCCTGGAGAGGGAGGCGGGATGGGGAGGAGGGCAAAGCCCGATCCAGAGTCTCCGAAAGGGACCTGCGGGCATTGCCTGCTTGGAAGGGTGCGTGTGTGTATTAGTTTTTAGGGTACAAAACCGTTGCAGGGGGGAGGTGATAAGTGGGGTACTGGCTTTGTTGGCGGGGGGGTTTCTGCCCTGCCGGCTTGAGGGAGGGCTGGGGGGACGAGGAGTGGGGAAGGGGACACCTTTGGGGACAGGGCTTATGCCAACATCCCAGTGCTGCCTGAGAGGTTTTGCAGGAAACTTTGGGGACCGTTTCCAGGGTCCCTCCTTTTGCCTCCGCTGCTTTTCCCGCTTGCAGAGCAGGAAAAGGCGGTAGCAGCAAAACGAAAATCGTTTTTCCCCACCCCCAGTCTTGAAATCCGAAAGGGAAGGCGGTTGGGGAGGGTGGAGGAGGGCCTCCAAGAGCCTCCCACACAGAGGGTAGGCAGGAGCACAACCCTTTGCATCCAGCGGAGAATCTCCCCGGGAGAGCACCTGGAGTGCTGCCACCCGCTCGCCCTCGGCAGGAGGGATGGAGAGGAGCCTCAAGCACACCCTGTGGCTCCTTCATCCCTCCTCTGCAGCAGTTGGGCAAAGTGGGATGCCCAAAGGTGGGACTGAGCCTCCCAAACTTCCATCTCATGGAGGTTTTTTCTCCACATCCCACCTAGATGGAGACGGTGCCACTGCTCCCATGGAGACAAGACCCCAGCCGGATACACCTGTGTGCTCACCTCCATCCCACCCTCCGGCGGAGGAAGATGACTTCCAGTTCCTCCTTTGCGAGGGCTGCCGGCAGGAATCGCCCAACCTCAAGCTCCTCACCTGCCTCCACACCTTGTGCCTGGGTTGCCTGAGCGAGAACAAGCCCGTCGGGCAGTGCCCCGTGTGCTGCACGGCCATCCCGCAGGCCAACGGCATCCCGGACATGGACAACCTGCTCTTCACCAACCTGCAGGCCCGGCTGAGGGTCTACAAGCAGATCACCAGCCCTGGTGGTCCCAATTGCAGCCGGTGCCGGGGCGAAGCGGCCCTGGTGTGGTGCTGCGAGTGCGAGGAGTTCTTCTGTGCCAAGTGCTTTGAGGACCACCAGTGGTGGCACAAGAAGAAGAGTCACAAAGTCAAGAAGGTGGAGGAGCTGCGTGCTGAGTCAGCCCATCAATTCCTGGAAGACACCAGGAAGTCTTGCAACCTTTTTTGCAGCAGTTCCAGTCACCCCGACCAGAGCCGCGTCTGCAGGTGAGAGTGGTGCCTTTTTCCTGCATCCCATCCTGTCCCAAGGGCTTTGGGGCTGCTGCTCCAGGAGCAACCCTGCCAAAGGGGTTTCATCACCTGCCTTTGGAGAGGAGAAGCTGCAACCCTGGTGAGACCCCAGGCAGGAGCAAGTTGTGATAGGGCTGGGGGGAATCACATAGAGCTGAGCCAACGGAGGTTTAGGTTGGATACTAGGAAAAGAACCCGCCCACAGAGGGTGGTTGAGCATTGGAACAGGCTCCCCAGGGCAGTGGTCACAGCCCCAAGGCTGCCAGAGCTCAAGGGGCGCTTGGACAGTGCTCTCAGGCACATGGTGGGATTGTTGGGGTGTCCTGTACAGGGCCTGGAGTTGCACTTTGATGATCCTTGTGGGTCCCTTCCAGCTCAGGAGATGCCATTCCATGAGTGTGTGTGCTATTGGTTTATCAGGAGCCCGGGAGGAGGGAGGGCAGCAAAGGAGGGTTGAAGGCCCAGGCTGACGGCCGCCCCTGCAGCTGGTGCAGTGAGGCAAAGCCCCCGTGCCTCAGTTTCCCTGGCACTGTCCCTCGAGCAGGGGGAATGGTGCCCAGGGCAGCAGAGCTGCTTTTGCCGCCCCAGCGCCGTGCCGGCTCTGAAGGGCCCTCCTGTTCCCTGCCAGCATCTACTGCCAGCAGTGTGAGAAGGCGCTGTGCTGCTCGTGCGCGCTGCTGGACAACCAGCACTCGCAGTTCAGCGACATCTGCAGCGAGACCCAGCGCAGGCAGGAGGAGCTGAGCTCCATGGAGCGGGAGCTGCGGCGTCGCCGGAGCGGCTTCGAGGCCACCTACGCGTCCCTGCAGGGCGAGGCGGCCCGGCTGGAGGAGGCGCAGCGGGAGATGCGGGAGCTGATCCGTCAGCGCGTGGAGCAGCTGGTGCGGCTGATCCGTCAGGAGGAAGAGGAGCTGTTGGGGCTGGTGGAGGCGCGTCAGGAGCAGGGCCGTCGGGAGCTGGCGCGGGAGCTGCGGCACGTGGAGGGGGTGCTGCGGCGGATGGAGGCGGGCGAGAGGCTGGTGGAGAAGATGAGCCTGTACGCCACAGAGCAGGAGGTGATGGACATGCAGCCCTTCATCAAGGGCTCACTGCAGGAGCTCCAGCGGCTGAAGCTGCCAGAGGCCATGGACCGAGGGCAGCCCGGGGACTTATCCGAGTGCAGGGCCAGGCTGCAGGCGCTGGTGGAGCGTGTCACAGGGCACCCAGGTGAGGACTTGCCATGGGGATCAGGTAATCATGGAATGGTTTGGGTTGGAAAGGACCTTAAAGCCCATCTCATTCCACTTCCTGCCATAGGCAGGGACACCTTCCACTAGACCAGGTCGCTCCAAGCCCTGTCCAACCTGGCCTTGAATGCTTCAAGAGATGGAACATCCACAACTTCTATTCTTCCACTTCTTCTGCTTCCTGCAGCAGAAGGAGCCCAGATCCATTCCTGTGGGTCCTTATTTCCACTGGGGCCAAGCTTCGCTCCTTTGCTTGTATGTCCAGAGCCCCTTTCTGGTCTCCCACCAGTCTAACAGGCTCTGGTGATGATGATTTTTGGGTTACCAGAGTCTCCTAAACCCTTGGGCCATCCCAGACCAAAGGGCTGGGAAAGGGAAGAGAGACTAGAGCTACCCCTTCCTTGCTGCAGCTGTCAGGCAGGTTTTTCCCAGCTTGGCTGCTGCCAGGGCCAGATGGGAACTCTGGAGGCTCCGATTCGGGATCTCAGCCCTGCTCTCTCCATTGCAGATACTGAATCCCAACCTGTCCCCGTGGTCGAGGTGGCCCTGGAGAACAACCTGGTGAGACATCAGCGTTTCATCCCTGTGTGGTGCCATGTGGGGAGGCCTCCTGCATCAGCCAAAACATACATTCTCCCTTCTTCTGATCTTTTGCAAGGGTCTTCCTTCCCCTCTCCGGCCCATCAGTCCCATTTTTTAGTCAACAACAAACCCCTGGGGATGTTTCTGCCTGGACAGAGAAGAACCTACATTGTAGCCATCATTTTCCATTACCCAGGCATTTGCCTACCCCATCCCACTTCTCCGAGCCTGCTGCTTCATCCCTCACTTTCCACAGGGAAAACCACAACTGTAGCACAAACCTTGAGCCAAGCCACAGGGCCAGGCTGTCCCTCAGTTTCCCCCCTCCTGGGGATGTTTCTGCCCCCCACACTGTCTGGGGACACCCCAGCCCTGCAGGGGGGTCAGTGTTCTCCGGGTCCACTCTAATGCTGCTCTGTGCTCTCTCCGCAGCAAGAGGATCAAGTCTGGCCCAAAAACCAGAGCACTTTGCCCACCTCACCCACCAACCTCAAGGATGTGCATGTGGACAAGGTAAGAACCATCCCTTGGTTCAACCAGCCAGGCAGGAGCCCTTGGGAGTTGCCACCCCAGCACCTTCCACCGCCTGTGCTCTCCCCTGTCCAGGCTCGCCCTGTCCCCTCATGGCACAGGAGGAAGTTTCACTGCACAGAAAGGGGCAGCCAGATCTCTCCCAAAATACTGAAGCTGGAGTGTGATGACATGCCAGGCCCCAGTGATCCCAATTCCAACCAGAGGGATTTCCGAAGGGAGCCCGGCACCTCCATGCCCGGACGGAACTGCAGCAGCAGCATGGATGATGCAGGTGGGGGCCATGAATGTTGCCCTCCTTGTTATCCCATATTTTTCTCTCCATTATGGGGGTCCATTCCCAGCCTCTCTGCACCCCCAGGCACTCAGAGCCTTGGCCAACCTCCCCTGGGTGACAGAAGCAGAGGGTGGAAGCTGCTTCCTAGGGAATAAGTACAACAGCAGTGCTCGGGGCGGACATGGATGCTCCATCCAGCTCCATGTCCCACTTTCAAGGTAGCCAAAATCCAAGCTTAGGGAAGAGTGTATCAGCAGGGAAAGTGCAGAAAGGCTCCTCTGCCTCCTGCTCCAGGAGTAGTAAATTTTCCTGGAGCAAAACTCACTATAATTCTTAGGAAAACAAATTTTCTTCCCCGAGCTGAGCCAGCCCCACTGCATCCCGCAGTGAGGAATCCTGGGATCAGCTCTGCAAACAGGATAGAGGATGAAATGCACCTTCTGAAGAGGCTGGTGCAGGATCCATGGGGTGAAGCAGCAGTGGAAAGGTTGCCCCCACCTTGGGGTGCATCCAAAGGCTGGGTGGTTCACGGTCCTGCGGCAAAACTCAGGAGAGTTGATCTGGTGGCATCCAAAATCACAGTCTTGGAGCTTCAGCATCCTCCTGTTCCTTCCACAGAAATCACCAGCATTGTCATTGGCAGCTCGGATGACAGCGAGGAGGACACGGTGGTGAGTGTAGTGCCAGACCTCCCTCCTTGAGCTGCGCTGCCGGAGAAGAGGCGGCCGCACCCCGTCGTCTCTGGGTGCCTTTCCCTTTCCTCCAGCTGTGCTTGGAGCCAAGCCTTCTCCTTCCCAGCAGCACCCAGAGACCTGCTTATGGTTTTCTCTTCCACTTCAGGTGCTCCCAGGTGGCAGGGCATCCAGGCCATCCCAAATCTAGTTCTCCCAGGCCAAGACCTTTGCTCCTGGTTTTCTGGAGCAGCCGTAAACCCCGCCTTGGTCTGCTCTGAGGTGGGATCCCCTGAGGCAAACCTTCCCAGTCAGTCCTTGTGGCTTCCTGAGAGGTGGTTCTCAGCTTAAAACCAATCAATCTTGATCTAAAAATCAAATTTGTGAGTTGAATGTAGCATCTGCGCTCGCAGAGTTCATCAGCCCTGTACCAACACGGGCTGAGACGCTCCCGGGAGCCACCGGAGCAGGGATGGACCACCTGAGCACCCCCAAAGGGACATTGCACAACTCTGGTGCTGCAAACTGGTGTGTGGCAACCAAATGGCCTTGGCTGAGGTGGTGAGATGATCCAAAGGGGGGGATCCTTGATGAGATACCATGTCACCATCACGAGAAGGGGATCCCCTGGGAACCAGAGGCAAGTGCGGCTGATTTGGGATCGAGAATTGGGGTTGGTTTTCCAATACTGGCTTAATGAGGGGTGAACACCTTTTTTTTTTGTACAAACTAATGCAGAACCTCTTCTTGCTCTTTCAATAAAGCTGTTCTCAGATTAAACCCCAGCCACTGCTGGCTTCCTTATTCATTTCCTCCTGTCCTGTTTTTCCTGGCTCCTCTGATTCCTCTCTAACAAAGGGAAAAAGAGAGTTGTGGGGCTAAAACCTGTCCCCAGTCCCTGCTAGTGGCAAAAAATCCCAAGGCTGGGGCTTTGGGGGATGCTAGCAGCTTGCTGGGAGAAATCCCTGAGTGCACCAGGTGTTGGGTAGTACGATGTGGATTTAAGGGTGTAGCAAAGACAGGTGCCAGGGGTAAAAATCCCACATTCCCTGAGCTGAGGAGTCTGAAGTTGTCTGTCCAGCCATGTTTCCACCACTCCTGGGCTGCGGGTGGAGTTGCAGAGAGCTGGTGTGGAGGGAGATGGATGTCCCATCGCTGCAGGATACCCAGGAAAGAGGTGCAGGATTGTCCTGGGGGGAAAGAGGGAAGGAAACTAAGGTTGGAGCCTCTTGAATGTGTTGCTGTCCTGCTCCTCCTGTAGGGAGATACTCACTGTGGATGTCCATCCCTGCTGATGCTGGGCAGGGGCTGGTGGTGTGGCTATTTTTGTTCATCCTTGGGAAGCATTGCTGTAGGCACTGGATCTGCTGAGCCTGGAGAGGCCCTAAACCTCCTTCTGACCTGATCCAGTCATCCTGATCCAGTTTCCTCTAGACACCAACAAGATCTTTAAGTATCTCATGGAGTGAGGTTGCTCAGGCATGTTTATGTCCCTCCATGATCTGCATCCATACGAGATGAACAGCAAGGGACAGCAATCCCTGGACCTGTGTGTTAGTGCCTGCATCCCGACCCTGCTCAGGACAAGCTGGATTCAGGGCTCTGCTCTTGATCACTTGTTTCTGACCCTGTTTTTGGGCTCTCAACAGGGCTCCTCATGGCCAGCCCACTCCAGACACAGGACACACCCAGTGCCAGGACATCACACCTGTGGTTTTTGTGGCATTGCCACAAGCAGATCCCTGTCCATGGCCAATGGTCCTCCCAAGCGTTCTCCTCATGCCTTCCCAACCAGGTCCAAGCAGGCAGATTGTACTTGGATCCCTTCTCCAATCTCTTGCAGGCCTTCAGCGAGGCCAAGGATAGCAAGAAGCCCTCCAGCCCCACATAGTCCAGAAGTGGCACCTCACCCCACAACAGCACTGGCCCCACCAGCCCCTTGGATGACAGGTTGGAGCCGGGTGCTTTGGTGTTCTTCAGCCTGAAGGTTGATCCGAGAAGTGAGCATTGCCCTTCCCAGGGGCTGAGGGGCAGAGAGGGGCCTCCCCAAACACTTACTCCAGCCCCATCCTTTCCCCTCTGCAGCCCAGAATATCATGGAGATGGCGGCGGTGAACGGAGACCATTCCTTCAGGACGCTGATCCAAACCCCCGAGTCAGTGCTGGCACTGCTCCCCGAGGGCGTCCCCTTGGAGGTGGGGGTGCAGTACCTCCTCTGGCACCTCTCCCTGCTCCCCAGACCCATCCTCATCATCTGGAACTTCTGGGGACTGGAGCTGCCCGCTCTCTTTAAAGCCCTGGATGCCACGGGCAGGAAAGTGGACTTCTGCCATGTTGTGTGTGGTTACATGGATATGTTGTCCTTGGTCAAGGACAGGGTGCCCCAGGCCCCTTCCTACAGGCTGAATAACTTGCTGAGAAGGTACCTGCAGCAGCGACTCGGAGAAGGCGCCCTGGCCAAGGCCAAGGCCTTGCAGAATCTTTGGGGAGCCCTGGCACTCCCTGTGAGCCTGGATATGGAGATGATGCTCATGCACCGCAACGCACAGAGCTACACCCTCCTCTGGCCCTTCGTGCAGGAGAAGCTGCTCAGCAAGAGGGCGGCCAAGGTGCTGGCACAGCGCAACCTCGTCCTCCGGGATCTGGAAGAGGAGTGAGCACAATTGTGGGGTGAGCTGAGCTGGCCAGGTCTCAGGTTAACTGCACCATGGATGCAGGGACGCAAGGATGCTCACCAGGAACACAAGGATGCTCACCAGGGAGGCAGGGATCTCACCAAGGGTGCAAGGTTGCCCACAAGGAATGCAGGGAAGCTCTCAGCAGCATTAAACAGGACTCCCAAACCTTCTCTGCTCCCAGCATTGGGCTCAAAAGGTTCAGGCCCCTGGGCCAGCTCTAGGGGGAAAAAATAACCTAATGGAATTAACGTCCTTATAAAATAAATGACACAACACAGGCAAGTGCAGTTTACTGGGGCATCTTTTTTCCTCCTTTTTCCAGCCAGGCAGGAGGGGAGATGCTTGGCGTTCTCTTCACCCTCCCTTGCTCCCCTCCCCTCAGGACTTCCCCCGCACCCCAAGGCCGGATGTGGCCCTGGTGACAGTCGGAGGCGGCCACATGGGGTGTCCCCGAGCAGGGCTGTGTGTGACACGGCAGTGAGGGGCACATGCCACCAGGTGTCCTCTTTGTACAGCCGCACACGGGCTGGAGCGCCGGGGCTGGCGCCGTCCTTGGGGCACTCACGCTCACTGGTGCTCACACTCACGCGCAAACACACTCGTGCACACTCACTTGTGCACACTCACATGCACTTGTGCAGACTCACACATGCACGCTCTCACTTGTGCACACTCACATGTGCACACTCACACTCCATTGTGGACATAAACTCACTTGTGCACTCACACACTGTTGCACACTCACTTGTGCACTCACACTCCCTGTTGCACTCTCACACGTGCACTCACACCCACTTGTGCTCGCTCACACCCACACGTCTCACACCACCCGCATCCCCAGGGCCCACCAGTGGTCCCTCCTGTGCCTGGGGGGCACCGTGGCTGTCACTGAGGTGTCTGAGCTGCTGTGCTGGGCACAGAGGGAGAGGGGTGGGAGGGATGGGCAGGTGCTCTGGGGGGCTTGAGCTGGGTGAAGGTGGACAGGGAAGGTGAGGGTGAGCAGGGAAGGATGAAGGTGGACAGGGAAGGGTGAAGATGGACAGGAAAATGTGAAGATGAACAGGGAAGGGTGAAGATGGGCAGAGAAGGGTGAAGATGGACAGGGAAGGGTGAAGGTCAGCAGGGAAGGGTGAAGATGAACAGAGAAATGTGAAGATGGGCAGGGAAGGGTGAAGGTGGACAGGGAAGGGTGAAGGTGGGCAGGGAAGGGTGAAGGTGGGCAGGGAAGGGTGAAGGTGGACAGGGAAGGGTGGAGATGGGCAGGAAAGGTGAAGGTGGACAAGGAAGGGTGAAGATGAACAGGAAAATATGAAGATGGACAGGGCAGGGTAAAACTGGGCAGGGAAGGTGAGGGTGGGCAGGGAAGGATGAGGGTCTCCCCTCCAAGAGGGTGCAAGGGGAACTGCCAGGCTTGGAAAACGGGGGATACAGGGAGGAAAACTGCCTCCCATCTTCTGGAAGCCCTCTGGGAACAAACCATGTCCTGGACACAGCAATGAGTTATTCCTGTTACAGCAGTGATCCCAAAGGAGCCGGCACGTTGACACACAAGGTTTGTCACCAAATTCACCGCGAGGATCCTCTGGTGGCTGCTCGAGGGTTCTGCGGGGGATCAGCCTCGAGAGGGGCACGGGCAGAGGGCAGAGCCCATCTGTCTGCTGTCACCGGCCTCATCAAAGCCTGGTAAAACAATGACGGAGCCAATGGGCTGTGGGAGCAGGATTAGCTGTTCCTCTTGCCTTGAGCTGCGGTAAAGCTCATTCATCTGACCAGAAAATGGTCTCTCACTCTGAGGGGAGCAGAGCAGCACCCAACAGCCCTCAAACCCTGGAGAAAAGGGCTTTGAGGGCTCCCCAGAAGCCCCACCAGCTTCCACCTCCAACAGGAAGCTTTGACACTTGTGCAGACCTCCTTTCCACCCAGAGCCACTCTGTGAAAATCCCCCTCCCAGGAAGACTCAGAGCCTCTCTGGGTTTTCTTAGCCCAATAAATAACTTCACTGAATTAAGCGAACCTCCTGAAATGATATATATTATCCTGCTTGCTTGATTGGCTGTTATTAATAATGCATTGCTCAATCTAAACCATTCATAAAATGACTCCCCGCCAGCCCCAAGCAAAGTGCTCTGGGACTTAGGAGGGGGAAAAAAAAAAGGCAAGAAAGAGAAGCATAAATCCTTTCTGGTTATGAAAACAGATTTCTTCCCCCAACAATCATGCAAAACTAATTAGAGCCAGAGGGCTGGTTCCTCTGCGTTGATCGTGCCCTGCAGGATCGCTCAGGTCTGCTGGCCAGGGTGGGGGAAGTCTAGTGCAGGGGAGGATTTGCCTCTGCGAGCCTGGGAAAGGTCACCTGGATTACATTCCTAATAAAAACATAACTCTACTATCACCTGAACAGGTTTGCATCCCATGGAACATCAAGAGAGAGGATGGGGTGGTCGGGACTCTTGAATATTTGGAGAAGTGGTGAGGCCAAGCTGAGGAAAGACTTTCCTAGGTGGAAGGAGAAGCCACATTGTCTCTGGCCAGGCAGGTCCTGCAACCAGGATGCTCCCAGGGTGGTGGTTCATGTGTTCACCTGGTCCTGGGGGAGCTGGAGAAGCCAGGAGAGCCCAAACTGGTGGCTTGGCCTTCTCCTTCTGAAGTAGGCAATGTCCCTGACCAGTGGGAGTTGTGTCTCTGGAGCTGTGATGGTCAACACCAGCCCCTACTTCCCACATGTTTAGGAGCACAATGAAACTTGGGGTGCCTGGGGCTGAGGCAAGTGAGGTGTGAGAAGAAGTGGGCAGCTCCAGAGCCTGCTCTTCTATCCGTCCATCCACCCACCCACTTACCCATCCATCCATCCATCCACACATCTATCTGCTCATTTTCCCTCCCTCCCTCCCTCCTTGGAACTCCCATCTGAGTGGACTGCAGACCCACCAGAGCACTGTTGTTCCTCCCTGTTCTCAGCCCATGGGAAACTGAGGCACAAATGGTGACATGAACCCCTTGTGTCAGCTGGGGAGGGATGAGTGGGGGTCTGGAGGGATGAGGTATCCCATGCCATGCTGCTTCATGCTCCGATGCCCTCCCAAGTGTCTAGGTGAGGGTCTGGCCCTCAGGAGCATGAGGAGGGATGTGTATCCAGCTTGTCACACGTGCCTCATCCCTGACCCATTTCTAGCACGTGAAATGTTCCTGAAATGCTGCCACTGTATCTAGGACACTTGGGTTCCTTCCTCTTGCATGATGGATGAAGGCATCATCCATCCCTTCGGAAGACTCAGCAGAATGCCGTGGATAGCAGCCAAACCAGAAAACGAGTGTCCTCTCCCTGCTGGTCACAGTCTTGTGGCATTTTAACCCCTTTCCATGCTCCTCAAAGCAAGTTTTCCATCCCTGTGTCTCCCATCTGAGCTCTGCAGCCATGGGGCAACACCAGCATGGGCTAACCCATAGTCCTGCAGCCCCACAGCAGCACGAGGAGCTTGGGATGTGGAATAACCTGGGTGAGGAGCAGGGTGGGTCTGTTTGGAGATGCTGAGCCCACAAGTGCTGCCCCACTAACCACAGAACCCCCAGCTGTGGGGCTCAGGAGAGAGTGACAGCCCACGGGTGTTCAGAAAGTGAGCAAAATGAGGGGAAAATGCCTATAAACCACAACTCCAAATGCCTGATGCTGTAATTCCCTGAGCACGGGTGCTTGGGAGTGTCACAGTGAGGGTGAGGACATGCTGGGTGACCAGCCAGCCACAGGGGTGGGATGGGGATGAGTCATGGCTCAGCTCCGAAGATGCTGAGAGCACCATGTCCGTTCAAACCTTTCTCCAGCAGGAAGGGAGACATGGAAGCGCTGCCCTGTGGATGTATCCACTGGATTTGAAGCGGTGCCTCCCTTCTGTGTGGCCCCTCAGCGGATCACTGTACCAAGGTGGCCTTGCCCATCTGCTCAGGACAGTTCCCTTGGACCATTCCCAGGGTTTTCCTTGCGGAGTGTTGTTTGGGTTGGGCCAAATCTGTGCCAGGCAGCAGGTGTCAGGCTGGGGGGCTTTGGACACGGCTCCTGGGAGGATGGGAGCCATCATCGAGGATCAAATCTGACATTTTGCTGTCAAGCAGCTTGTGCTCTGTCCCTCCAGTCATCACCCCCTCTCCTCTCCCTCCTCCCTCTCCTCGTCCTTGGAAGAACACGCCCATCCCGTGGCCTCGGGGCTGGGATGCAGGGCCGAGCTCCCGCCGAGGGAGAGGTGGCCGGGCTTTTACTACGCCTGCGAGCAAGCAGGAAGGCGGCGGGACCCCCCCTCAGATCCCCGGGGGTCCCCACGCATGAAGCTCCCCGGGATGTGCCAAGTCCCCGTGGGGAATGGGGAAGGGGCGGTAGCCGCAGCTCTAGGCGGGGCCGCTGTCTGTCGCGACAGAGCCGGGTCGGGGACACCGGGAGGCGTGGACTGACCCATCCGAATCCGTGATGAGTCCGCCTCGGCACCCCCCGGCAGAGCTCCCGGAGGGGAGAGGATGGAGAGATGCAGGGGGGAAGGGAGGGATGGCGGGAGACAGGAATCGATCACGCTCCCAAAATCAATGGTTTCTCGATGAGAGGGGCAGGACGGAGGGTGGAGGGGGAGAACAGCCCCACACGTCGAGGTGAAACCACGAGGGGAATAGGAGGCTCTCTGCGCCTTTCCAAGGGGCTGAAACCTTCGGGAGGAAGCTGCGAGAGAACGGTCCCGTCTTGGGGACCCCCGGCAGCCCCCGTGTATTTCTCTCCCCTCCCATCTCCTAACCCCCTCCGTGTTTAAAAGCGCTTTGCATTGAACGAGCGCCGAGCGACGGGACCGGCTGGCACACGCCGCTCATCGCCCGTGGAAATACCGCATGGATCGGGCGTGGGGGGATGGCAGCACAGCCCGGGGACCGCGGGCGGGAGGGTCCAACCTCCGCATCCCCGTCCACAAGCGCTCCACAAAGGGCTGCGACCCCGCGATGTCCCGGGAGGACGGGGTGGCCGTGTCCCGCATCCGCCACGACGGCATTTCGGTCCCTCCGGGGGGCACTGGGGAAGTCAAAACGGCGGACGGGGTTTGGGGTGGGGGGGCTGGATGACGCCTGCTGCCAAGCGCGCGGAGTTGTATTCGTTGCTCTGCCGGGTGGGTGTTTATTTTGGTTATTTTGAATTTTTTAGGGGGGGTAGGAGGGTGCCGCGCCCGTCGCGGGAGCAGCCGGCCCCGTCCTCGCCGCAGGCTGGCGAGCGGCGGCGGTGGGTGGGTGGTGGGATGGGAAAGGGGTGGCGAGGAGGGAGGGGGCAGCCGAGCGGAGGGGGAGGCTGGCAGAAATGCTAATTCCTCCCTTTCGCTGTCGCCTCGGCAGCCCAGTGCCCGTACGGCCCCGCTCCGGCTCACAGCTCAGCCCGGAGAGGTGCGGGGGGACGGGTGGGGTCCCCCCGCCCCTCACCGTCGTGTCCGGGCTGGCGGAGGCTCCTCCGTGCCACAGGGACGGGGGTCGGGAGGAGGATGCGGAGGGCCGGTAACGACGAGGAGAAGGGCTGCGTGTTGCTTAACGGCACTTAGGAGCGGGTAAGGTGCGGGGTCAGCCCCGGTGCGGTGCGGGAAGTGGGGGAAAGGGGCGAAGGAGGGAGTCAGAGAGAGTGGAAAACAGGGAAGGAGAGAACTAGGGAGGAATGGAGGTGGGAGGGAGAAAAGTGCGGACAGGAAAGATGAAAGAAAGGAAGAAAAAAAAAGAAAAGGGAAAGAAATAATTGAAAAAGGAGAAATTAAAGCAGAGAAGAAAGAAAACGAGATTTAATTAATTTTTGAGGGTCTGGGGGAAGGAAAAGCCTAATCAAGACGAGAAAAAGAGAGTGAGAAGGATGGGAAGAGCTGGATGGGAAAGGGAGGAAAACGAGCGAGAAGGGGAAGAGGGGATGAACACGAGCGAGGGGCGAGGGGGCGGCAGGCAGGGGGAGCCGGGTACAGACAATGGGGCGCGGCCCCGCCGCCGCCTCCTGCCGGGCGGGGACCGGGGCCGGGAGCGGGGCGGGGACGTGGGCCGGCAGCCCTGAGACCCCCTGTATCCCTTGGCAGGGGGAGATGGCCCCTCTACTGGTCCTGTGGCTAGTGGCCCTGCTCGGCTTGGCCCGGGCGTGCCCCGAGCCCTGCGCTTGCGTGGACAAGTACGCGCACCAGTTCGCCGACTGCGCCTACAAGGACCTCCAAGTGGTGCCCACGGGTTTGCCTTCCAACGTGACCACCCTCAGCCTCTCGGCCAACAAGATCACCTCACTGCAGCGGCGTTCCTTCGTGGAAGTGACCCAGGTCACCTCCCTCTGGTTGGCACACAACGAGATCCGCTCCATCGAGCCCGGTGCCTTCGCCATCCTGGTGCAGCTGAAAAACCTCGACATCAGCCACAACCAGATCGTGGACTTCCCCTGGCAGGACCTCTACAACCTCAGCGCTCTCCAGCTGCTCAAGATGAACAATAACCACATGGCTCTGGTACCTCAGGGGGCTTTCCACACCCTGAAGGACCTCCGGTCCCTCCGCATCAACAACAACAAGTTCACCACCCTTGCTGAGGGGATCTTTGACTCGCTCAGTTCCCTCTCCCACCTGCAGATCTACAACAACCCCTTTGAGTGCTCCTGCAAGCTCCAGTGGTTGAAGAAGTGGATGGACAGCACACTCATCTCCATCCCTGAGAAGGACTCCATCACTTGTGCCCTCCCGGAGCAGCTCCAAGGAGTGCCGGTGGGGAAGATCCCAGATGTGCAGTGTGCCTCACCCACGGTGCAGCTCACCTATTACCCCAACCTGGACACCACTGAGCTCTTTGATGGCTTCACCCTGACACTGCACTGTGCCGTGACGGGCACCCCACTGCCCGAAGTGAGCTGGAAGATCCGCACCTCCAGCCAAACCCTGGAGCTCAACGGGAACCCGAATGAGACCGCTGGGAAGGACCAGTCCAAACGGGACCCTGAGCGCTTCTTGGTCTTCAAGAATGGCACATTGGTGATTCCTCACCTGAGCAAGAGGGAAGAAGGCACCTACACCTGCCTGGCCTCCAATGAAATGGGGAGTAACCAGACCTCTGTCAACGTGGCTGTGGCGGGCACCCAGAAATACCCACTGCAGCCCGGGAGGGACCCACTGGGGGGTAAAGCACAGCCAGGTGACAAGAAGCCTGGGGCCAAGGGAGCAAAGAATAGCGTGCTCACACCAGATGAGAGGAGCAAACCCCTTGATCCCACTCGGCAGAGCCAACCATCCTTGGCAGCTGGGACAGAGTCCACGGGAGACGGGCAAATCCCTTTCCAGCTGCCACCCTTTGAGAAGAAGTGTGGCTCCACACAAACCAGCAAGTACATCTCCAATCACGCCTTCAACCAGAGCGGCGACTTCAAGCAGCACACGTTTGACCTGGGGGTGATCGCTCTGGACGTGTCAGAGCGCGACGCCCGGGTGCAGCTCACACCCACCTACACGCAGCCCGAGAAAGTCCACCTCAGGATGCTCTACCTGTGCCAGGAGAGCAGCAAGGGCCATGCCTTGGTCCAGTGGTCCAAGATTGAAGAAGGGGTGAACTCGTACTGGTTCCAGGGCTTGAACCCCGGCACCAACTATTCCGTGTGCCTCACCTACCTCGGGGAGGACTGCCAGGTCCAAGTGGTCTTCACCACCAAAAAAGAGATCCCCTCGCTCATCATCATCGTGGTGGTGAGCATCTTCTTGCTGGTGCTGGCCACCTTACCCCTGATGGGGGCCACGTGGTGCCACCTCCTCTCCAAATACCAAGGGAAGACCTACAAGCTCATCATGAAGGCCCAGAACCCAGACCAGATGGAGAAGCACATGGCCGCTGACTTTGACCCCCGTGTCTCCTACCTGGAGTCTGAGAAGAACTACAATCCCAGCGAGGTAGGGGAGGCAGAGGTGGAGGAAGAAGAGGAGGAGGAGGAGGATGAAGAAGGAGGCAGGTGGAGGAGGAGGAGAGAAGCCGAAGGGGCTCCGGAGCTGGAGCGAGAGGAGAGCGTGGCAGCCAGCTCCATGGCGGAGTCACAATCCAAAGCCAACGGCGAGGAGTTTGAGGTGCGCTCTGAGTACAGCGACAAGCTGCCGCTGGGTGCCGAGGCTGTCACCATCTCCCAGGAGATCAACGGCAACTACCGGCAGCGGCCCCGCTGAGCCTCCCCACACCCCCTCCACCCCCACCTCGGCCCCACCTCCTCCCCGGTCCCCAACCCCCGTTCTTCGCGGGGCATCGCTGCTGCTTTTACTCCGAGGAAAGACGGAAGTATCCTCAGCGATGCCTGACCCTCCTCCTCCTCCTCAGACGGCAGGACCCCGGGGATGCTCAGTGCCGGCGGGACGCGCTTCCTACGATTTCGTTTCCATTTTGGGTACCGGCAGTCCTTGCTCCCGGCTTAGCGACAACAACGATTCCCGGTCCCCTGGCTGCCTCTGCCCTCTGTTCGCCCCATATTTTCTTTCCCCTTAAAGGAAAAAAACGAAAAAAAAAAAAAAAAAGATGAAAAACGGGTCAAAGAAAAAAACCCGACTTCCCAAAACCTTTTTTCCTGGAATTGGTTCAGTCCCCGGTGGGTCCCCTCCGCTCCTCGGTCCGGTCCTGCCGCTCCCTCGGTCCCCGGTGAGTCCCCTCTGCTCCCCGGTCCGCTCCTGCCGCTCCCCACTCTGGCCCCGCCGAGCCCCCGTGCGAACCCCGCCGGAGCCCGGAGCCGTCCGCACCGCTCCTCGGCGTCATCCTCCCCGCGCCGCTTCCCGGTGGATGCCCGCCGCGCCTCGGTACGATCCCCGCCGCTCCCCGGTGGGAGCCCGTCGCGCTGCGGCGCATCCCTGTTTTCCCCGGTGGACACCGGTGGATGCCGAGATTCCCCGGTCTCTGCCTCTTCCCGGCGGTGCTCTCTGCTCGCCGGTGCGTCCCGGGGCTCCCCGGTTCCTGCCGCTCCTGGGAGGTGCTTTCCGTTCCCCAGTGGACACTGGCGGTCCCCTCTCCCTGCCACTCCCGGGGGTCCTCTCCGTCCCCCGACGGGTGCCGGTGCTCCCCGCGCTCTCCCCGTTCAGCACTCGGAGAGACCGGACAGCTCCGCGCCCCCCGCCCGCACCCCGAGGTGGCGGGGGCGTCCCGATCTCCCCTCCCCCGTCCCAGTCCCGGTCCCGGCAGGGCCCCTCGATGTGTTTTGGGTAGAGTAGCCTTGTAGCCAAGTGTCTGTGCCGTAGACGCGCCCGCGCTGCTGGCGGGCGGGCGGGCGGGCGGGCGGGGGCCCGGTCCCGGGAGGCGACGGGTCGCCGCCGCCGCCACCCCCAGCCCCACTCCCCGCGAGCCCCGGCGCCGGTGAGAGCCGCGGGCGCCCTTCTACGAGCTTCTGTCTGTGAAAGAGTCAATAAAAGGGATTGAAAGTGGAGATGGGTCTGTGCTCGATGGGGACGAGGGGGAGGTCGCGCCCGGTGCCCCCCGTGTTGCCCCCGGTACAGCCCAGTGCGGTCGAGGGGACACCAAGGAGGTGGCAGACGGCGCAGAGACACGTCGCCACAGCTACCAGCAAAGCATCCACAGACATTATAAATATATATATTTCTACCCATAAACCGTGCACACATGCAGTATACATAGTATATTTCTGTATATACATATTATATTTCTGTATATACATATTGTATTTCTGTATATACATATTATATATAAATTCACGCACATAATATATATATAAGTACTCACGCTGTATATACACGCACACACTCCTTTTATACATCCACACAAGACGTATAGGCACAAATAATTGTTGTAATCACTCTACTATGCCTTTACACACACTACACACTTTGTATGTACGCGGTGTCTACACACATTATAAATATACATAAATTCAGCATACATAGGAAAATAAAATAATCCAAATATATTATATACCGTTTAGACATACTGTCTATAAATTCACTATATAGAAAAATGCAAATAATATTTTCCCCTGGCGCACGCATCCCATGCATACACGTGGATTAAGAATATATGCAATATATATACACAGTGTATCTAATTTATATAAGCTCTGTGTATCTATAATAAGTGTGCTCAACATATGTACAAATACATGCTAAACGCCCACACTGCCCATGTACACACAAGTTTTTTCTCCCAACACTTGTCTCCCTGCAGTTTGCCTGGCAGGGTTAGTGTCACCCTGGTCTTAAAGTGTTCCCAGCCTGGAGACTGGGGGTGCTACGAAGGTGGCTGGTGGATTTATGCCCCCCATTTCATCTGGCTGATGATTTCAGCCCATAATTACATAGTCAAGATTTAAGGCTGCCTTTGATTGCTTTTCTTATCTGGAGCTACAAAGCCACATTTCCTCCTGGTGTCCCCGCTTGAGAGGCGGTGTCCCATCATGTGGGGACAGTCACCCACCCTCCAACCCCCATGGGTGTCCCCTGAGGCCCCACTGATGCTCCCCTCACGTTCCCCAAAATCAGCCTCCGCAACCCAGCAGATCCCTGCCGAGCAAACACTCCTTTCTCCACCCTCCAGAGAAAAATTCCTATTTTAAACTCCGGCCTCTGCATCTTTCTCCTGCGACGGGGAGAGTGGGGGAGGCAGACAAAGCAGGTCAGCGAGCAAAGAGGCAGCAGGCAGGAGGGGGTCCCACCCAAATGCCCCAAATCCTGGGAATTCGAGGCTGCTCTGAAGCAGCCCAGGTGTTTGCTGCAGCTTTTAAGAGCCCGTGCCAAGCAGAGACTCCCCCTTGTAGATAAATCCCCTCCTGTGAATACACTTATAATTGAGTTTCATGCTTAGAAACATAGAAGGAATAGAAAAAGAACAATCATTTCTCCCTCCCTTTAATTAGAGAATAATAGATTTTCCCCGCCTAACGTATCTACAGGGAATCTTGATGCTGGATTACGCTGAGATTTGCTCCTTTTCAGGAGGGCTCTAATTAGTACCCGGTGCCCAAAGGCACAAAAAGTGGTCAAGGATGGAGCTCTGCATACTCCCACTCCCTCCGTGTCCGAAGGGGGGGGTGGGGGGTGGGAAGGGTTTCTCCTGGAAAGGGTTTCTCCTGGAAAGGGTTAAAGCATCCTGGCTGGATGGCTCAGCCACTCCCAAGGCATTTAACCCTTCTGCACATACTGCCACCAGCCCGGGATTGAGTGGGATGTGCCCACGCGTGATGGTGACAATCTTACACCCACACAGCCCGGGCTGTCATGCACATGGTGTCACCTAAGCTGTGGGAAGGTGTCTGTCACCCTTCTCCCAGGACGGCCCCAAAAATAAAGAAGCTGTCACGCCACACCCTCTCTTCCCAAATTATTGCTTATCCCGGATCAAAAAGGGGTTGTGCCTTAGGGGGTTACAGATAGAGTTTTGGGCCCCCATGGGAGCTGTCAGAGCAGCATCTTTCCCCTGCTCTGTGGGTTGAATTAGGGTTGGTCCCCTGTACAACCCCTGTCCTGTGTCCTCCACTGGTCCAGAGCCCCTGCTCCCTTCCAGGTGGGTTCTGAGGGCGTTCAGGGTGGAGGGGCTGATGGATCATTTGCCTCTGCCTCGCTCTGGAGTGATGGGCACTGCCAAGATCAAGCCCAGGGATCCAGGAAGCATCCCCCATGCTGGCCTTGTCTGTGAGAGCATCACACCCAAGAGGGGCAGTGACAGATCCCCCCAAATGCCTTGCAAAACAGGTCCTGAACCCACTGAAGAAAATCCCCAGCTCTCCTGGCGTGCCAGTACAGCCCCTGGGCAGCAGCCACGCTGCCAGCCCGCCCCATGAACTGCTCTAGATTCAAAACAATCCCCTTCTGCCTTGCACAGCACTATTTTTAACCCCAAGCCTGTTCACAGCCCGGCCTCAGCCACGGCTGCGTCAGCACAAGTGTGAAGACAAGGAGCTGTGGCTGCCATACACGGAGGTGAAGTTCTCCCAGGGGGATCCAGCTCCCCCTCGCTCCACCTTCATCTTCCTCACGGGCTTTTACAAATAGGTTCTGGCTTGGTCCAGGATGGAGGTCCTTGCACCTCCAATCCCAGCCCCACGGCAGGAAGCTTTCCTACTGGAAATGCCCCAGTTTGGCCAGTACAGGAGGGCAGGGAGCAAGGACCTGCTCATCTTCCCGGCCCTGGATGCCCACCCCTGCCCTAGTGGTCCTGCCAGGCTGGAGGATGGAGTCGGAGAGATGAAATCCCCATCACCCACTTTTAAAAGCTTTTATCAGCAATTTATTGCAGGGCCGAGGAGATGACTCTGGGTGACAACTCCAGGTGACCTCCCTGTACCTCGACAGCTCTGGGTGACCTGCTGGGACCTCATCATCTCATCCTCCTTCCTCCTGCCCCCGATGCAGCCTCTGAGCTGCACCCTCCTTCCCACCCTGCTCGGGTCCTGCACAGCCCCTCAGCAGTGTCATCCTGTGACTCCCAAGCCCCCAAAGCCCTTCACCCCCCTCAGAGACAACTCACCGGCCACCCCGTGTCCTCCAGAAGCTGCCCGCTCTCTGCCTGCCCCCCAGATGTCCTCTGCAAGGGGTGGGACAGGATGGACCCCGAGATATAGGGCTGGGGGGCAGAGGTTTTATGAGGAAGGAGATTTGGGGGGGCAGAGGTATGAGGGAAGAAGGTTTGGAGGGCAGAGGACTGGGGGCAGAGGGGGCCGGGCTCCGACAGCAGCCCCCGGGGGAGGCGGGCGGGTGGAGGAAGGGCCCCCGCAGCCAGGAGTGGGTCGGTGCCATGGAAAACAAAAAGGGCCCGGGGGACGGGGAGGGGAGGAGAAGCCCGACGAGGGCCGAGGGAACCGGCGGTCCTGTTTTCCCCCACTCCGGAGAAGCGAGGGTGACCGGGCTCCATCTCCGCGAAGCTGCCGGTGAAGGGGCAAGGGGGGCCGGGGAGGGCAGCGGGGGGCCAGGGACCGGCGGGGCCGGGGGAACGGGCTGGCCGGGCCGAGGAGGGAGGGAAGGAGGGAAGGAAAGAGGGAGGGTGGTTATTCACGGCTCTGGTATGCGGCGTGCGGGCCCTGCTCACACCGCCCCCGGGCTGCCTCCGCCCGCCCCGGCCGCGGGCAGCGAGAGGCGGCGGGGAGAGGTAACTGCGCCCCGGGGGATACTGGCGGGGGTAGGGGAGGAGGGATGGGAGGGAGCCGGGGTAGGGGTGCTCCAGGAGCTATAAAGATGCAGGACCCCCCCCCGCTCCTCCCCCCGGTGCTGCGCCGCCAGCCCTGCTCCCCCCGCGTCCCGCAGTGTGATGGGGATCTGCCCCTCGCTGGGCAGCTTGGACTGGGACAGCCACGGGACACCCCCAAATTACACCAAGCAAGGGCTTCAAAGGCATGAGCCAAGGACAGACACACACACACATACACACACCCGCAGCCCTCCATCACCCCCAGAGCCGGGGGGGCTCCTTCCCCATCCCTCGAACCCCAGGACTGGGGTTCAATCCCTGCAGGGTCCTCCCTTTCTGTGCCTGTCCCGTCCCTCCCCCTCAGTTGTGCATGTCTTATTCAGCCTCTCCATTACCAATAAAACGTCCCCCCCTCCTGCTTTAAATGACAGGGTTGGGAACTGGAAAGAGCAGCAAAATTTGCCTACAAGGCAGAGACAAAGGGGTCTGGCTGCCAGCTCCTCGCAGAGCTGCACTTAACCTCTTCCCTGGTGGGACACAGCCTCCAGACGCC